CGCTGCCTGGGATCACTAGTGGTTACTACTGCTAGTGATGCTAAGAGCACTACATACAAAAAGAAGAATAACAATAATAACAGTAAGTTTGTGTAAGGAATTTAATATTATCATTGATAGGTTCAGGCTGCAATTAAAATGAAAAGTCAAGTGGATTGATACTCAAGACTGAAGCTAGAGATTTATATACTAGTTTAATTTTTTGAAAAATAATTCTTTTAAATTTTGATTGCATGTATTTATGACGATTTGAACTGTCATTGCCAGTTCTACAACTATACTGCTGTGCAGCACTGCTAAATGAGCCACCAACATGTGCACACACCTTTTTATAATTAATGTACCGGTACAAAATATTTTGTGTAGAAATTCTAATTAAAATTTTAATTTTTAAGATTCCAAATTTATGTCAAGATGTCCATGTATCTATACTAGTTGAGTTTAGTAAAAGTTAAAATTTTTGTCATTAAAAATAAAATAATCTTGAAGATTTTACCGACTCCAATCAATAGGAAAGGGAGCCTCCTAGTTGAACATGAACCAATTGCAGCCAGCCACCCACCCACGTGTTCTCACATTTCAAAATGGCTGCTCAGGCAAAGTTCAAAGCGTCTAGAGACAGGAATGGATCCAATTAGTTATGTGAGTGGTTTTATATCTGTAATACGCATGCGCATTGCTCCCTCATGGACAAAAATCACAAAATGGCTGCCACCAACTGCCAGAGTGTTTTTCATATTTCTAGTGCTGTCTTTGTGGTTCCAGGCCTTTTTGCCTAGTTGTTTGCATGAGTTGGATCACTGATTAGACTAATAGAACCTTGCACTAGGTAATTTATTCTCAGACTGCTATAAATTATGCCTTTTTATATACTGTGACTATTGTGATCACCTATATATAGAATGTATCTTCTAATTATTCTTGTGTGAGGAAATGGGCTTTTTAGTCTTTCCTGGGTTATCATTTGTTCCTTCCACCACAATTACTCATTTCAGAACTGTAAGTAATATGTCTGTCAATTTAAGCCTCATTATGGGGAATATGAGGGATTTAATAGGAGGTTCATCACTCTGAGAATGCCCCAGGGTAGGGATTTTTCTCCAACAAGCCTATAGGAAGACTTCGCTAGTTTGACCAAGTTACGTTTCAAAAATGCTAAGTTTACCCAGCAGAGCTGAGTTCAGTAGCAGTTGAGTGGTTGTTTAACGTTCCTTAAATTTAGTAGGGGATTTGACTGAAGGGAACGACCCCAGAGGTAGTGATTTAATTAATTAATTAATTTGAAACCCCAACTATGCCCCATTATGACCTGTACTGGGATAGTGGAGTTTGATATTGATAAGTACACGATAAATTTATTGTAAATGTCTGCTATTTTATATATTTATTTTTTATAGGCATTTTATACCTTGCCAGCGAATTGGATCACAAGAGGTTGCTCATGAGTTTTTGCTTACATGTGTAGTAGGAGACTAGGAGCTCAAGTAGGTACAAGGTTGAGCTGTAAGCTGTGTATAATTATAGACCACTAGCAGTAAAAATTGATTAAATAGGAAGATTATTAGAAATTTTTACGGTTGTAAGGTGTGGTTTAGGATGAAATAAATTCAGCTGCCATTTTGGTTGACAACTTTTAATGGAGAACAAACGGGCTGGCATGAAAACAAACCTGTATTGAGAATTCTGGGACAAATTGGACCACATCTTTTGGAGAAGAAACTTAAAGGTAGATCTTTTTTCTTATAACAAGCACATTTTAGCTTTTAATAGAGCTACAGCAGGTAAGTGAGGCATTTTCTTGCATTCATTGCCGACTTCCTTAACAAACTTTCCAACGAAAATGACAGCCAATTATGACATGTGGGCAGATACCGTGTATAAAATTAATGAAATTAATTTCCAGTTCTCACTTCCAGTGGTCTATAATTAGTTTTTAAGTCAGTATAGTTTTTAAATTCGTAAATTTTTTATTCATGCATTAAATAATGCAAGCAATGACATATTCCACTTGTACAGTACTTCTGACTATTAAAGCTGTTA